GTCTTCTCCCCCGCAGGAAACCGCAGGGGAGGCGGGTTCCAGGGACCCGCCCCCAGGCTAACAACAACAATAATAATAATGATGATGAGGATGGAGTTCTGCCTGGGAGTCGGGCAATGGGCTAAGTAAACCCTTTACAATATTCTTTTATTTAATCCTTTTAAATAATCCTGTTATTCGCTGTCATTATCCCCACTTGGCAGGTAAGTAAACTGAGTCACGGATTGGAAAACTTGACCAAATGGTCAGGATCGGAACCCACTGCTCTCTGACCCTGTAGCCTGGCTGGGCTCTTAACCCTTGGTCTTCATCCCAGGAGGCTCCCTCCCCAGGGAAGACTGCCTGCTTTCCCCCAGCCCAGATGTCAGCGCTCCCCGAGACCCTCACCCACAATCTGACGGAAGGGACTCTCCTCCCCTCCTCCCAGGGCCCAGGCGGTGAGTGTGTCCAGCTGCTGGAGCTCTGGTCAGCAGGGTTAATGAATGCTGGACTCAGGCTTCAAGCCAGGCCCAGGCCAGCCTTGCAGAACCCAGCCTGGGGCCTCTGAGGGCCCGTGTTCTGCACCAGAGTGCGTGGCAAAAATGCCTTTCCTTTCTGGCTAAACCTGCCCGTGCACATGCGTTTCCACATCGGCTCAGGGCTTATGCTGCAATGTGTGGTGTGATCAGTGTGTGGGCCCGGGTCGTCTTCCTGCCTAAACTCCTAGCCCCCCCTGTGGGCCCCCCTTCCTGTGCTAGGGCTGGGGTGAGGGGGAGGCCTTCTTGGCGGGAGCCTTAGAGAGGAGGAGGGAAGGAAGGGGGTGAGAGGAAATTGCAGACATAGCTGAAGGCGCTGCCTGAGGCCTGTGGGCCATTGACCCCCCCTCTCTGTCCAGGCTGGAGACCCCCACTCCGGGTCCTGAGACTGGGTTCAAGCAGAGGGCAGATCTGGATGGAGAAAGGACTAGGACTGGCTCCCCTGGGCGTGGGAAAGGGACTCCTTTGTGTCTTTGTGGCTGTTTAGTCTGTTTTGTGAGCATGTGGCACTATTTCTGCCCATATCTGTATATTTGCGTGTCTATTTTCGTGTTGTATCTGCTTGAACATTTTTGTGGGGGTGTGTACGTCTGTATACAGCCGCTAGTCAACAAATGCTAACCGAGCACCCTGCCCAGCGTTTCCGATACTGGGGGTTCAGCAGTAAACACAACCTTTGTCTCATGGAGCTGCCACTAAGGTGGACAGACAGACAATATACGAAGAAGAGAATCTTGGTGCTGCTGAGTGCTCAGAGGCTGATGGAATCGGGAAATGTGATGGAGAACACCTGGGCAGCTCTCCAGCAGGACATCTGAGGTGAGGGCTAGATCCTGGGGGGCAGCCATGCCAGGATCTGGGGCTGAATGCCGGTCAGGAAGAAGGGCCAGGAAGAAGGGCGAGGCCCCTGAAGTAGAATGTCCTAGGGCACCTCCCGCAGGGGTGGAGAGGTGCGAGGGGGTGGTGGGGTGATCAGGAAGAGGCCATGGGCCCTATGGAGGAGCTTAGATGTGAGTGTTATGGGGAGCCCAGGAGTTTTAACCAGGAGAGTGTCATGGTTCCGTGACGCGCTTTGGAGAGGTCCCTGTAGGGGCTCAGCGTGGGATGGGCCACACAGGGCGAGAATGGAAGCAGAGCTGCGAGCAGGCTGGCAGCTGTCCAGGCCAGCAGTGGCAGAGGCTTGGGCCGGGATGGGCGGTGGAGGAGGTGAGACAGGATCCGATTCAGGCAGTGTTTTGAAGGGAGTGTCAACAGGACTTCCGGCGTGGGATTTGGACGCCAGGGAAAAAGGAATATACCACAGCTGCTTAGTATTGGGCCCACACACCTGAGGAAAGCTTAGGTGGGGAGCAGGTTTTGGGCAATCCCAAGTTTCATTTGAGATAGATTTGAGATGTCCAGTAGCCATCCGAGTGGAGGTGTCAGGCAGGCAGGTGGAGGGAGCCCTGCGGCGTCTGGGCTGGAAACGTATGTGAGTCCTCAACGTCCAAGATGGACTGAACACCCCGGGAGGGGGTGAGGTCACCAGGGTGCAGGGAGAGAAAAGGGTTCTGAAGCCTGAGCTCCGGAAGCCCCAGCATTGATGGGGTCTCATGGAGGAGGAATCAGCCAGGAGAGCCGAGTGACCAGGGAAGAAGACCTGGCCAGGACCAGGATGCCATCAGCCATGTTAAATTGAGCTGAGAGGGGAAGGTGAAGCCAGAATCTGAGCCCTGGCTGGGATATCGGTGGGTTTCCATGGTTGTGCCAACATGCTGAATGCCTGCCACTTATGTGAAGATTAGTGTTTCGGCCGTGCTTGTGTGACTGACCCTGCGTGTTGGGGGTGTGTGCCTCTGCATGGCACATACGTGTTTCTGTCTCTGTGTGTGCCTGCCTCTCTGCTGTGTGGCTGGGCTGTCGCAGGGAACAGGGAGGCCAGGAAGTGAGAGAATGGGGCTCAGACCTCAGACCGGGTGGTCGCAGGGAGCCGTGAGAAGTGGCTGATAGGACATGGGGTGCGCCAGCAAGGGAGGCGAGAGCTCACAGCTGACTTGGTTTGGGAGCCTGAACAACTCGGCCATGGAGAGAGAACCCATCGCCTCACTTCCTTTCCCATTTCAGGTAGCTGGGTGCCCATGGGCTTCTCTTTGAAGCTCTTCCTCCTGAGGACAGTGGAGACCAGGCAGTGGCTACAACTGATGGAAGCTTCTCAGTTCTTGTTCGACTTCTCAGGACCACAGGAGGCTGTTGATCACACACACCCTTCTGGCCCTTTCTCCTTCCTTTGCCTCAGGGGCTCACAATAAAAACTGGTGGAGAGCAATCTACGCTTTGCTGAATAAACCGACAGTTCTCACATGCGAGCTGCGTGCAGTTTTAGGTGCCGAGGATACAAGTGAGAGGGACAGCCCCTGCCCGCATGTGGCTCGCTGTCTGGGTATTGCCTGGCACATGTCGGTGCTTAGGAGATACTGGGCTGGCGCAGAACAGAGGCTGATCGGGTGGGTTCACGAGGGAGGCTGAATGTGGAGCTAAGGCCAGGGCGGCGGCTGGAAGAGCCCGAGAAAGGCAGTGCTGGGCTGGGAGGGAGGCCCCTTCTGGCGGTGCATCCAGGACAGGTAAGATGTGGGCCTGATGAAATGGGCAAAATTCCTATCGATTTGGGAGGACAGGATGACGGGGAGCCACGTGGATGCCTGGGTAGGTGTGGGGCTGTGGGGTGAAGGGGATAAGGGGCCTGGGGGGTCTGGTCTGAAGTATCTGCAGAGAACCAGGGCCTTCTCACATCTTGGCGAGGTGCCACCCCCTCTGGCTGTGTGGACAGTGACTGGGACATCCTCCTGCATGGGTCTCTGCTCTTTTTGTGACCTGGGCCTGTGTGGGTTCCTGAACACAAAGGTAAGTGTGCCTGGGCCTGGTAGTGTGCCTGGAGAGGGGAGGGGCCAGACTACCTCTAGCTTCACTGTTTCAGTGCTCAATCTGCAAAGTCTAAATTTAAGCAAAGGAAGGAAGGAAAGAAGAAAGGAAGGAAGCTTCTTGGCTTCCTATGGAGGGGAGGGAAGGAGCCGGTGATTCAGGAAAGGGCCTGGCCTGGCCCTTATTACGCCAGCTGCCCAGGATGGGCATGTAGGCACATGGGTGGTCTCTGTCTGGCTAAGTTCTCTCCACCTCCGATGGGGGTTTGGCAGGGAGAGAGGATCAGTACTCTGCAAGCAGCTGCCGCTCTGGGATACCTTCTTCCTGCACAGGTCCCTGGCTGAGCCAAGCCAAGCAGGGACTTCCCTCTTGGGGACTGAGGGGAAGCTGGACCAAGCCGGTCATGGAGAATGCTGAGTAGTTCTGGTCCCCTCCCCCACTCAAGACAGAGAAGGCGTGTGGCCAGCTGGCTGCCCAGGTGTGGGGGGGGGGCGCCTATCCGGCGCACCTGGTGGTAGAGCCCAGCGCTGCAGGAATCCTGCCCTGCCTGCTGGGACGGGAGGGAGGCCCGGCTGGTGGGACAGGGAGACGGCAGGTGAGGAGGGCAAGAACGGCAGACAGTACAGGCCACGGTGGCTCCAGATCAGGAAGTTTTATTGCTGACATGCAGGAAGAGTCCCCATGTAGTACAAAAATATGTCTTTATACAAATTTTTTTGTGACTTTTTCTGTTTTGTTTTGTTTCTTTACAATTGGACTTCTCTCAGCGTGTGACAGTCAGTGAGGGCAGACCCAACCTCCTCTCAGTTGCTTCGCTATAAATTAATCAGACACATGGGCTGACCCCGGAAGGGACCTCCGTCTGACAGGGCTCTGCAGACCTGTAGGATATTGCTTTGAAAAGGAGAAAGACCACACATGGCAAGCAGGCCTGGAGGGTCTGGGCAGGCTGCTGGGCAAGGGGCACAGCTGAGCCCCTCACAGGAGGGCAGCCACAGGGCTGGGGTCCCTCGGCTGGACTGCATTTCTACTCCCTTAGGAGACTTCTTTTTGAAATAAATATAGAAAAGAGGGCATCCCCCGACCCCATAGCACGACACCCTGGCTCTCAGCGGCCAGACAGCTAGCTGACAGGCAGAGCTTGGTGCTCAAGGGGAGTAAGTGCTGGGCTCAGGTGGGCTCCCTCAGACCCACTGAGGCAGAGGCACGAGGCGCCCAAGTGCTGGGAGGGGGGGATGGGGAGGAAGGGGCATGGGTGGCCCTGCTACTGCTGGCAAGAGGTGGCCCCATTTTTTCCAGATGGGGAAACTGAGGCACAAGGAGGTTTGGGAACTTGTCCAAGTCACTCACAGTGAGTCAGCTTTTGGGGAGGGGCAGCTCACACTGGGAAACAAGGTCACACAGACCTTGGTCACCTTCCCACTGTGGAGCAAGGGCAGGCAGGAAGAGCCTAGGGGCCCAGGGCTGCCTGGAGGGGAACACTTGGCCTTTCCAAGGGGGTCTGGTGGGGGGCTGGGGGAAGGTCTTTGCTTGGCACTGGGCAGGGCCAAGTCCAGTGAGGGAGCGTGGGAGGGGGGCATTCTGGTGAGAACAGCATTTCTGGCAAGAAGGGCATCCACTTCAAAATCTCGGCTCAAAAAGGGCAGCAGGGCTGTTCTCAAGCCAGATGGGACCCCAGTTCCCACAATTCTTCCCAAGAGCCCTGCAGCCCATGGAGGACCTGGCCGGAGTCTGCTGGGAGAGACACCACATCTATTATGAGGCAGGGCAGGGGAGTGATGTCCCCACCATTCTCTGAACAGAGAGGGGTGTGGGGAGCGAGAGGGCGCGCAAGCAGGGCCACCTGTCCAAGGCTGGACCAGCATGCCCTGCCCGGCCCGACCACCAGGCACCCTTTCACATCGATGTTGGTGTTACCTCGGTACCCGCTGAGGGCGGAGAAGGAAACCAGGGTTAATGCGAGTGTACAGCACCTCAGAGAAGCGACTGAGATGGGAGAAAGAACCAAGTCCAGAAAGGCCTCCCCATCACCAGAAGCAAGGAGGGACTGGTGGGCTGGAGGTGGAGAGGGGCCGGCAAGAAGGGGCTTCTGAGCCTGGGGTAAGGAGGGGCCCATCTGAGGGCTGTGGACGCCCTGCTGTCTAGCCAGGCTGGGGTAGGGAGTGGCCCTGGGCAGAGCCACCTGGTGATGGGAGAGAAGTTGGTTTCAGTATAAAAATAAATATATTTGAGTTCCACTTAAGATGAGGTGAAGGTTTTCCAAAGCTTGGACTGAGGGGCCTGGGGTCAGAAGGGGAGGAAAACTGACCATGGGAGGGGCCTGGGAGAGCGGCGGGGAGTGGGCATTCGTTTGAGAGCCAGCAGAGAGCTGCACTTTCAGCTTATTTGGACTGTGGGGGGCAGCTGCCCGGGGCAGGTGGCTGGGTGGGCTCCCTCCTCCTCCCTCTCACTCAGTCCAGAGACAGCATGGTTAAAGAGACAGAGGTAGATTAAAACGTCATGATTAAAAGCAGATTAGTCATCTAGGCTTCTCAGATTAAAAAACCAAACAATCAAGCAATCATTCCAAAAGGTAGCTTCGTGGTACCTCTGCTGACCCCATGTGTGACCTGGGCTGTCCCTGGCTGTCCCCGTGGCAGCCTGGGAGAGAGTTCGGCACTCCAGGGCCCAGCCCCAAAGCAGGACATCGGCCGGGGGGGCCAGGAAGAGGTGGCGGGTGGTGCTGGTACCCCTGCCTGAGGCTGCTATTTCCGCAGGCAGCGCTGTGCCAAGATGGCTGCGTCCAAGGGGTTCATGGGCTGTGCGTCGTGGCCCAGCCGGCGCACCAGTGGTGCACTGCCGAACTGCCGCTTGGGCACCCAGCTCCGGGCCTCGTGTATGGAGCTCTTCTCCTCAGCCAGCAGCAGCTGCTGCCGCATATAGTTCTCAAACTCGTACTGGGAACACTCCTCTGTCACCTTCGCCTGTGAGGCCCAGAGGGAGAGAGAGAGAAAGAGTGGCCAGATGGAGAGAGAAGAGCAGGGGAGTGAGTGTTAGATCGATCCAGAGGCTCCCTCCCCAGACACCTCACCCTTGGACCCGACCTAGCCGGTGCCAGTGTGTACGGGTCCCTGAAGCCCCCAGCCAACCTGAACCTCACCTTGGCCACCCTGGGTGTTGTTGCTTCAGCTGAAGTAGACCTGGGATCTGAGCCAGATCCCTCACTTCCTAACTCACTGACCTTGGGAGAGGTCACATTACCTCCGAAGCCTTAGCTTCCTTGCCTGCGAAGTGGAGCAGTAATCTCCCCTCAGAGAGGTTATCGAGACCCCTGGGGGACCAGTGCAGGGCACGTGTTATAAAAGAGGCCCTAGCCTGGCAGGCGTGGCTCAGCGGTTCAGCACCGACCTATGATTCAGGAGATCATGGTTCAATTCCCAGGCAGGCACATGCCTGGGTTGTGGGCTCAATCCCTAGTAGGGGGCGTGCAGGAGGCAGCCGATCAATGACTCTCTCATCATTGATATTAATAGCTTTCTCTCTCTGAAATCAATAAAGACATTAAAAAAAAAAAAAAAGAGGCCCAGGGCTGGGGTACTCAGCACTTGGGCAACCATGTTTCTTTATCCTGCCCCAAACTGAGCCTCGTGGAGTGGCCCAGGCAGATAGTGACACACTGAAGTGGTGGGTCCCTGTGTTACTCAGTAGAGGGGAAAAGCAGGGCTATGGACTCAGACTTGGGTTCTTGATCCAGCTCACTACTTCCAAGCTGTGGGACTGGGAACCCTATTTCTGAGACGAGGATAAGAACATTCGCCTCACGGGACTGAATGAGAGGCGCTCCTTACACGCCAGCGACCATTCTTAGCTGCTGAACAGTCCTGGGATGGCTGGGAGCTGGGGGTAGGGCCTGGGACTCTTCTCAAGGGCCGGGAGGCTCTGCTGTGGTCCCAGGCTGGTGTCTCCTGGTCCTCCCTACCTGGTGCTTGCTGTGGATCTCCAGGGCCGGCGGAGAGGGACCACAGCATCCCTCCCAGGGGCCTGGCCCAGCTCTGCCCTCCAGGGGGCACCCTAAGATCATCAAGTAGCTGCTGCCTAGTACTGAGGTCTCTGCCCTCACTCTGGGTCCAGAACTTTCTCCAGTGCGGGAAACAAGGGAAAAGAGAAAACTGGGAGAAAATGAATCATCTGGAAAATGAAAAGCAGGAAGGTTGAGCCCTGTGAGTCAGAGGGGCAGAGAATGTGACTGTTTAAAGGGTCAACCCGTGGCAGAGCGCGTGGGCAGGAAGAGGAAGCTGGGAGAGGGCCAGGCTGGGCCACTGGGAGGCTCCCTGCTGGGGGGCCTCCACCTCAGTTGCCCTCTCGGGCCACAGACCCACCAGCTGAACCAGATACACGGCAGGTCTCAGGCAGCATAGGGCGAGGACTCAGGCCTCCCTTTCCCACTCCAAAAGCTGGGGACA